TCCTATTATTATATTGTATTCATTTCTATGCTTGGTCGGCTCAGGAGAATTTTGTGGCCTATCATATGTGCTGATTCCTTAACTTTACGAATTTTCCAATGGCGTTCTTTGTCTATGATCTCAACCTGATCCCACAGAGAGCAGTGATCTCCCTTCTCCCTCCATATGTGGTCAGCCACACCTGATTTTTCCACTTCCCCTCATGTTACAGCTTTCTGGTGTTCTTGAAGCCTTACCTTTAGGGGGTGGCCTGTCTCCCCTTCATATTTCTTTCCGCAGCTGCATGGGATAGCGTACGCACAGTTTTTAGTCATGTTCTCCTCTATGGGGGGTCTTACTCGGGAGAGATATCTGCGAAGTGTCGTCAAGCTTTTGAAGGTTGTCCTGATGTTATATGGACCGCAGATCTTTTGAATTTTCTCTGATAATCCCTTCACATAAGGCAGACAGACTATTTTCTGAGTGTTGTTTGTCCTCCTCTTGTACCCGCCTATCCCAGTTTTGGGGGGCTGCTGCCATGTACCCAGAGTAGTTGTTACGTTGTAGGGTACTACTTATACGGGTACAACAGGGTACTGCTTATACGAAGACAAAAACGCGAATAATGTAAATAATACACACATATGTGTGTGTGTGTGTATGTGTATATATGTGTTATATATATATATATATATATATATATATATATATATATCTTATTATTATAAAACGCAGGTTGTGTGTGTGTGTGTGTCTGTAACGTTTATATGTTGGATCGAATTTCCTACATTTTTTAGCCTATTTCAACAAAACTTCACAGGACTACATAAAATTACCTTGTGGTGGTTCTAACGGGACCGAAAATGGGAAAAATACAGTTGTTTTTTAATAAAATCAATTTGAAAACACAATTAAGACACATCGTGAGAATGAAAAGGGGAGAACTCACCCACGAAAATGTAAAAAGAGCATAGCATGATGAAAAAGACGCCGAACTTGACGAAAACAAAATTTTATCGTCTAATGTTCATATTATTATTAAAGAGGAAAGATCAAAGTATTTTGGGGGTATTTTTTTTTACATTTTTAATCGTTCCTAGCACGTCTGAAATTTTCGTTAAAAATATTGTTTTTTTTTGGTTAAAAAAGGGCAGATAATCATTTTCAATCATTTTTTCGATTTGATAAAAAGATTAAAATCTTACTTTGATATTCTTTTAAAAGTCAATTAT